AGGCTTATCAGCACCCTCTACCGTGGGGACAGAACAGACCACCAAATGCCGTCACGTCAAAGCTAAATCCACACGCAAGGCCAGACAGCGAATAGAGAAAAATCGATCAGCCCAAGGCAAACACTTACAGCCGCAACTTTAAACTGCTGATCTATAAAAGTCAGTATTCGCTTTTACAAAAGACAGCAGGCCCAGCTGTCCAAAACGTCAACAAAGTTTCAAATTATTCCGGTGAGTAGGAGATGAATTATAATTCATAGCCCGGTATTATGACATTTTAGAATTTGAGGTTTTACCTGTTTGAGACCTAATCAGATGCACAAATCTTACAGAGCAATACCGCATCGGGTTTTGAGTCACCATTACGAACCAACCTGCTTACACCTAGAAAAAAGTGGTTTGGTGTAAACACAACAAAACACAAAAAGGTGCGCTTGCCCCATTTCTTTTGTCATTGTCTGTTTTCTGAATAACGCCTGCCTTCCATTTGGAGGATTTTGTCGACGAACTCAAGGGCGGGAGACCGGAAACCCCAAATGTGATCTCTCGGGGTAGCAAGAAGCATGAAGCAAGAGCAGGCCATGTTTGAACAGCTGATTCAAATAAATAAAACAATACGGCATGAGATTCAACAGTTTCAGCCATTCGAGAGAATGCGCTGCCACAAGCAGAAGGTATTTACTCGACATTTTGCCGATACGATGGTTATTCGCCCTATACGGTGAGAGTAAATCAATGTCAACCAATGTGTCCCCCATCGCCTTAATGCAGGAACTTCACTTTCCATCGGTACTAGTAAGGACCGAATTACTCCAATTGAAGCCTCCCAATTGGCCTGGTATAGATAGGGGTTATGCAAAAGTACTTCAAGAACTTGCTAACGAACTGTGCGAACCACTGTCTGTCATGAATGATTATTCCCGAATGAGCTCGATATATCGCAATGGGGTAAGTTAATAAGAAAGACCCTTGTTGCAGCGATCTTCAGACCCTGTTCATTTTGGAGAGAGAATAAGTGAGATGCCAAGTGGGAGGAATATCGTATTCTGTAAAGAGGAATTGGAGAATAGGTTGGAGGAAGTTGACTTTCGGACGAGCTTAGGTTTGCACTCGAGCAAGGCGGTGTCTGAAGTGTCTGAGCTTGGCAGTCTTCGCAGAGGTCAATACGGCTGATGTGAAAATTCACCTTGAAGATGATGCACCAGGCGAATTGGGGACGGCCTACAAGTGCGCGAGTGTTAGTGGTCGCGCGAGTCGAGTGTTCACGGTTGTGGTAGAGGTAGGCCGAGGACTGCCCGTATGTTAACTCGTGTGTGGAGTTACACAGAGGGTGAAGGGCACTACAGGGCCACAGCAGATATGGCACGAACCCCTTAGCTGTGTACTAATACCATTGAAGGACGACGGAGTGCACCCTTTTTGAACATCGGGAGTGCCACTTGTAGAGGTAGGGACATTAATGGCTGGTGACGGTATAAAAGCGTCTGCTTTATGCCCCACAAATTTCTTCACTTTGTATTTTAGGCAGCGTGTATACTTAATTTTCTCTCCTTCAGCTGACCCAGTTGTGATGGGAGTCGAACCCATACAGCAGGGAGGGCTTTTTGTGCAGCCAACGCTCTACCACTGAGCTACGAGGCTCATCGTGCGCCGCGAATTTAAGCACATTTGAATTTATTTTACCCGCCTAACTTACTGCTTGTATGGAATCCACCGTTACAGAACAGCAAGCTGACTGCTCAGGCTGGATTTCCTAAGCAATCCTCTAGAATCCACCAGAATGACTGCTAGGCTCATCTACTTGCCAGGGGGATTCGACAGATTTGCTTAATTCAGTTGACCCAATTGTGAAACATTCGCGGCTTCGATGGGAGTCGAACCCACACAGCGGGGAAGGCTTTGTTCTCCTTCGTCAATGACCATACCGGAAATTAGGTTTTGGAAATATTGCTGTTGAAGGTGCAACATAATCGAAATAAACCGGTTAGTATTTTGGGTTCAGGCAGAAGCCCGACTTGAATATTTGCAGAATGGAGGTTGCAGCTACTCAGGGACAGACAGCGCACATTTGAGTACCGCCACACGCATAACAAGCCATAAAACTTGACTGCCTGACCTCATAACTGGAGAAATGTTAAATACGTTACTAGAAAAGAGGAAATGCGCTGAATTAGGCAAACCCGTGACAACTGAAACTCTAGGGAGGACAGGAATAGCACTTTCTAGCTTGTTAGTCGTCATTTGCCAGCCAGTGTTCGCATTTCACGGAAAATTTTAGACTTTACAAATCATGAGGTTTAAGGAGCCCCAAAGGTGAAATTTTGAGCGTAGATTCCAACAATTTCCTTTGTGTGAACCCACAGCAGGGTGTGCGCAAGAACGGGGACTTGTGCGTGAAGTACAGGGGAACCTCGGTCAACGAGTTTAATCCATTCCAGCACCAGGCTCGTTACGTTTCGAAATATGCACAATCGATCTGCATCAGTTAACTGATTGGCTGCAAGCGACCGGGAAGCAAGACTTGACGGCGAGCGCAGGCACACACACACACGCACTGACAGCTCGTTAACTAAAAAGAAGCTCGTCAATGGAAACACATTTTACGCTAGTGTCACGTTCGTTACCTGAAGTGTTCGTAGATAGGGCCGTTCGTCACCCGAGGCTCCACTGTAGTTTACAATGCGAATAGACTTGCGTTGCTTCTGCTGCACACTCTCTTTCTCTTTATCCACGATCATAGAAGAGTCAACACGACCTGAGCCAGGAAACTGTGTAGGTGCCCGACGCACCGAGCTAAGAAGGCGACTTTCAGTCTGCAAGTCCACCCTGAGTGGAGGAACGAATTATCTCGTAAGTTGGTAACTTTACAGAGCACGGCTTTTAGCACCATGCAAACGTATCCGATTGCTTACAGTGAAGAGTGGGCGCTGGATGTTGTCTGCCTCAAGTCCGCTCTAGTCTTTTCCAGGTATGAGCACACTCCCTGTGTCGGGCAATCATCCGATGCGGTGATTGGACACAGTGGCTGACAGAGCTAGATATCTCGCCTGTGCCTAGCCTATAAAAGATCCGGTTCTCAGTACATAGCACCATATGTTACACAAAACAGCAAAGTGGTTCGGCTCGCAAATGTCTACGATAACATACGAAATGCTTGAGCGCACGTAATACCTAGATTTTCCATGTATTGCACCCGAAAAGCAGAGGGTGACCGGCACAGAACAGCTTTATTTCATTGCGAAAGGTCGGTGGCCTGCCCTTTATCTAACCTTCATCTTCGATGGAATAACATAAGGATCAAAGAACTATATATAAAATGCGGATAAGTAGGATCAGGAGGCAGGCATTTGCTCGAGACATTTTCTTCCTATTTGCGCATTGAGCTCTCGAATGTTCTCACTTGAGCACGCGTTCCATAGCCCTTCAGGTTTCCAACAGCCCAACTGGGTCGTGTTTTATCCGGTAAGAGTCTACATTGGCGGGTTTATGAGTGAACGGTTGCCATTAACGGTCAAACTTTAATAAGGATACTGGTGTCATCTTTCTAATCCATCAGTGTAGGATAATGATAATAAAAAACGCACTGGAAGGCGGTCGGCATAGCAAATGTCGAGGCTGACATTAAGAATCAAATATTGCATACGCAATGCATTATATTTAAAGAAACAACGCTATCAGGGAAAGGTGATAAAAAGACGTCGTAAAAATATTTAAAACAGAGAAATCAAAAATATTAAATAGTGACCATAAGTGAGTTCAAAGTAGGAGATAAAAAGGCATAAGGAGCCTGAGTGTGAGAATGGTTCTTATAAAATATCACCGTCGGACGTAAAAGGACCCTAGTACACAAGTTATTCTCCTCGGCACAGGTCCCGCAGTATCTGCGTGTGAATTGTAGAAAAACAAGAGTTAAATTGAGAACCTGAACGTTTTTTATGCCTTTTCTATAAGCAGGTTTTGGAACACATTTCTAACAACATAAAGAACTCTAACAAATTAATAGATATTTTGTTACTTTTATGTGGTTCGTCACAGAAAAAAGACCGTAAATGTGTGCATTATACAGAAATCTATAAGCAGTGAGTGGCACAAGGAAAATAAAGAAATAAATCGTAGCGCCGGTGGAGAACAGAAAGTTTCACTGTAACCCACAGAAAACCAAGTGCAACAAACCATCGTAAAAAAGGTTTTCAAAATGAAGGTAAAACACAGGAAGGAACTTGCTTACGTCAGCTGCCCTATAATCGGGCGTACCAAGGTCCTTGATTTTTAGTGGCATTATCGGATACGGCCTCCTGATAAACCTTTCGTGTCTGAAATGAAAGAAAGTGTTCCCTATAGGAAGTGCTAAGTAAGACACCGTCAACGAAATATGCACTATCTCAGGACACGACGGTTTTGTCACTAGTGTGGTAACGTAAACGTACTAGGAGCATACTGCATTTTTAATCTAACATTTGATTCGTTTTTATTAATCTGGCCTGACTTTATCGGAGAGCAGAGATGCTTTTTTTACATTACGTAATTATTTACCATGCCGTTAGCCCAGGAAATAGCTATAATTGGTATGGTAGATGATTAGTTGGCATATACCACTGACTACCAGTTCACAACTTGTGAATATTACACGATGATTCCATAGAAACTGATGAATTTCAACTTTCTCATAAGAATTTGCTTCAACTTCGATCATTCATTCTTCGGAAATTTAACAAGGCAGGATTTGTTTGTCAGGTAGCTCTCGTCAGGAATTTACACATACACCGCTGCGTTGTGACGAGTGATCAGTCTAACTTCTAGTACTACAAATGCGAAATGCACGAATTCGCAAGGCAAGACCTAATAATGTCAGATAATCTTTTTAGTAATTGCACACAGCATATTTCGCCAGCAGACAATTACTTAGACGGAAGTGCCCATCGCTCAGTCAGTGTAAGACTACAGATATCGCCCTGGTGAAGGCAAGACTATACAGTAACGGAGAAACTTGTATATTTTATTTATTTGCAGGACATCACGGTCTGACAATTGAGCCGCCTTTGGATCATCAGCTGGTTGTTCGGATGGCGCTCCTTCAGCGGCACGTTGCAACATGCTCTGATCTCATCAGGCTTACATATACCTTTGAATTAAAAAAAACGTCATTTAAGCGAGGTGCCTAAGTTTCCAAGACAGTTCCGTGCGGCCAGGCGAATCTTATGTACCGTGACACGGGAAGAAGCAGTCCCGGTATTCATAGAACCAAACGATTGGTACTGACATCATTCTGGCAACGCCGCGAGAGTGTGTCGCTTCGAAATCGAGTGAATTTACTTCATTAAACTTCATCAAAATGCCGTTATTTAAACTGAAACAAAAACAAGTGGCAGTTAGCATACTGGATCCATGGATGTGAGAGGGCCCTCTGGACACAAAATCACAAGGTTAGCCGGCCCCTGATTAACCCCAATTTTTGACCCAGCCGCACTTTCTGTCGGCACCAATGCCCGGCTTGGGAGATGGGCCTGTTTATTGTAACAGCCTTTCGGATCCAGATAAAACACGGCTATTATTTGTCCCAAAAATTAATTCCGCGGCTAGTAGTGAAAGTTCGGTGATTGCTTGATACAGGAAGTGAAAAATTCCAAACCTGACATTTATTCTTACATTGAAAAAACATACATAAAACAATGGTAAACTTAAGAGAAGCAGATGAAGGTGCAAACAAACCTCTTTTCTCCGAAGTGCCTGGTAGGTTTTGATACAACCGAGCATCTCGGCGTTCATACTCGTCAAGTTTGCAAGATCCTCACCAGTGATTTCGGTGTAATTTGCGTTTACGTTTGAACTAATAAGTACCTGCACCCTATTTTGCAGGCCTGTCAGACGCTCTGTAACGACCTGGATAAACAAAAAAACAATTATATTAGACTTCGTACGGCCTACACAGAAAATGCTTTTCTCTACTCCTACAGTGTATTCTCAGGTCAATTTCGTATCCTTAATGAATCTCACCAAGTGTGAAGCTTACCCCGAGATCGCGCAGCTGCTTTTCATCAATCACCTGAGACCTGCTAACTTTTTCATTCCGCTTCTGAAACAGTTGAATGGCGTCTCTCGCCTCCCAGATTGTCTTCGAAATACTATTTGTCTCTGGCAAATCGGCTGCGGCAGCATTCGTCGGCGCTGAAAAACGAGCGTTTGCTGGTGATGAGGATAGTGCAGACAGGGTCCTTGACGCTTCCTGTTGATATTCCACTGTCTGCATAGTCGTTATATTCGAAATATTGTTTGCATCTGCCAAATCAGTTCCGACAGCATTTGTCGGCCCCGCAAAACGAGCTTCTGCTGGTGATGAGGATATTGCCGAAAACCTCTTTGACTCTACAGGTTGGGATTCCACTGTACGCGTTGCCGTTATATTCGAAATATTGTTTGCATCTGCCAAATCAGTTCCGGCAGCATTCGTCGGCCTTGCAAAACGAGCTTCTGCTGGTGATGAGGATAGTGCCAAAAGCGCCCTTTGCTCTCCGTTTTGATATTCTACTGTCATTACTGGTGTTCCTGCTGCTTCGAAAGTGCTTTCCTCCAACTTCCGTTCTGGTGCCTTCCGAGCCTACGGATGCAAAAACAATATTACCGCGTTATAATACGCCTAAGGAAAGGGGAGAAAAGGCGAGAAAAAACAGTCCCGATATTCACAGAGCCAAACCATTTGTACTGACTTTATTCCAGCAAAGTCGTGAGAGTGAATCGATTCGAAGTCGCGTGACTTTTCTTCAGAAAAAGTCACTAAAAGACAATTATATCAAGTAGCAAAAGCAGAAGCAGCATCAACCAAACTGGCTCAAATGGAAGATCCGTGAATATCCACGGGCCCTCTAGACATAAAATCACGAAGGCAGCTGACCGCTGATTAACCATAAGTTAGGGCCCAGTCTCATTCTCTGCAGACATCAGCGCTTGGCTTGGGATCTGGGCCTGTTTATTGAAACAGCCCTTAGGATCCACATAGAGCACAGCTAGTCTTCGTCGCGAACATTAAGGCAGCAGCTATTAGTGAAAGTCCGGTGAATAATTGAGAACCCCGAACCTGTCGTGTAGTCCGGCGTACTCTGCCCGTACCTGCTGATCTCCCACCCCCTACAAAGAGACCGCATGCTCGCAGGAAATCCCAAGTGTCTTAAACAATCACCACGTGAAGATGAGACATTTGGCAAGCTCATATTCTCATCTGTTATGCATATTGCTTATTACTCATCTACTGACACAGTTAGCATGTAGCAATATTAGTTGATTATGGAGCTTATTGCTCCCATCTTACACAGGAGACCTCTCCTGAAACCTCAAGATGGAATTTAGATACTGCAGAAGGTTAGCTTGTTAACGGTAAATGGTACCATGCGACATAAACGCATGGTAAAACTTGAGTTATTTCTTAATAATTTTTAGTCAACCAATAAGATGACACAGCCTAGTGGACGGAATTTAAAAGGCAGAAAGCAAGGAGAGTCCTGACGTGCTAGTATCCCCATTATCACTAATACTACCAGCATCACTGAAATTGCTCTATGCCTGTTGCACTGACTTAGACTGTCCTACTATACCTACCTGATATTGTATTGTCGCACTACTACAGATATACACCATATAAGGCCTAAATGTAGTCTATAGACGGCAAACTTCTCGACAAAAGAGCATGGTAGGACTTAGGCATTACTCTACAAACGCTCTATTATTACAGTAGACGCCGTTGATCATGCAATATTTCGACATATGCGAAAGACTAATACTCTTTCGCTAATCGGAATTGACTCCAGTTTTGATACT